GTTAGTTTTAAAAAACTGACATAAATCAAAATGACATAAATCAAAATGTCTGGCTGCAGTTAGAAACACTGCAAAAAGTCATTTGTAGTCAAACATGAGCTCAGTTTGTGCAACTGGAGCTTCACCACTCCCTCTGCAACCAATCAGAGATGATTTGTTGCCTCTTTTAGCCAGTGACAGAGTAACACCAATATGATCTTACTTCCTCTCGACTTCAGGTCATCTCCCCTCTCATCCCTCACATCACTCATCTCCAAACCCTTCCTTCCAGTCTTTGTCAGTCCCATGTTGACAATCTGTTATGCCACCTGAAAATCATTTCCTTCTCCAGAGGGCCATGACAAGGAGAAGAGTTCTCCTCCGTGTTAGCCTACTGCATGACGAAGCTGTCTTAATCATGCAACAGTTACTTCCTTCAGGAAGTTTTAAAAATAAGAGATTTCCAGATGTTGCCAGAGATTGGATAAATGTTGGCTCACTTGAGTAACTGCAATTCCATATGTTTAGGCTCTTCTATTTTAAGCCTATATGCTCCTCCATTGAGGCAGCTGAGGAGAGTAGGACAAAGACTTTAAATGATGGAAATTCTTCTTACCTATTCCACACAGCTTCGATATTTTGAATGAACATAAAACAAGCATGCATAGAGTCTTGCCCTTTATTGTCAAAGGACATTGCACTCCTGACTGGTTCACTGTGTCATCATAGATAGTGCTTCTGATTTTTGCTACTTTTTGCTACTTTTGTTACTGTAAAATGAAGCACAGCCTCAAAAGGAAAAAGTTGCAAAAGCCCTGCAGATATTTACTTATTGTCTTGGAAAATTACTAAACGACCTCAATAAAACCCAGTCCTTTTATTGTTGTTTATCTTTTCAAAACACCTTTGAGTTTTTCTGCCCATTGCCAACTCACAAAAACTACCATTTTGAATTACTGTCTTATAAAATGGGAAAGTAGCACAATGAATAAATAAAAGGACGGCTCCTCAAGGACAAGTCATGAATGAAAAAAGACTGTTGTGAATATGAGGGAATCTTAAACAAACTGTACCTGGGACTGTCAAATTCTGCCCAAGGTGACTTTAACTGTAACGTGGACACTTTTCTATTTACTTCTTACATATTCAGGAGGTAAAACTGTGTGAAATCCCCAAAAACTGGGATGGAGGAAGGAGTTCTTAGTTTTTTTCTTTTTCTTTATGGAAAATAGTGTTTTGTTTGCCTCTCACCAGGGAGTATCTTTTCAAAGGAAAAATGTTTTGTTTTATACCATTTTGTTTTGGTGTGCTGGTGAGATGGGAAGGAAAGCCATTTAATAGTCTTAGTCAGGGAAAAGGGAATGTGGGCTGCATCTCATAACCCCGCCTGTGTGTCACCCCGTCACCTCTATGCTGAGGGGGCCTACGTTTTGTGAGGAGTCCAACACATCTTAAAAGGGACTCAGCATGTAGCCTACAGGATCCCCCGTCCTGCTGCAGGCATTGAAACATCATAAGAAAAGACGGTACTTCCACAAACTCCTTTTGAATATTAAAAAAGAGAATAATAAGGGATAAAAAGGCCGGGAAGATGAGAGACAGTCTCTCCATTGAGTGCTGGCATGGTGAGATGGAGAGGGGTGTGAACTTCAGCATGCACATTGTATACAGAGTTGCCCTCATTAGGATCCCATCGTTTTCTGGGAGGAAACATTGTCCCTGGATTTAGGAGACTGGCCAAGACTGCAGGGGTTTATGTATTCGGCAGATCTCAAGGGTAGCGCCATGAAGGACTCTTGGTGTGAAGTGCGGCAATGTTCGTGGTTTGTTGCAGTTTTTGAGAATTTTCAAGAGGATCTTTGGATTGGATTTGATTAATTTGCAACTTTGTGGAGAACACCAGTCACTGAACTCGCAAGAACGGTGTGTTTTATGATATGATGGTGGCTGTCTGTTTGCTGGTGGTGCTGTTTGCCATGCTGGTCATGCTGGGAGTCCCTATAGACCACAAGGGACCACACGGAGCCCATCGCAGCGCTGGCTTATCGAAGTCTCAATCCTGCAAAAGGCTGCCTAATAATTTTGGACTTCACCAGACTTTGAGACACTCCCATAACAAACCACACAAATGTAACCAGGTCTTTCACAGTAAGTACAGAAAATTGCCCTATTTCCAATAATTAAGGAGTCATAAAATCTTTAACATCATCCTAAGTTGTTTTAGTTCTCTTTGCTGGTTGGTTACGCAGTTAAGCCTTAGTGCTTTGCATTTTGGGATAGTGGAATTGTATCCTTCTCTACAATAGTGTTCTTGGAAGTGGTATGTGAAAACGATTTGGCTGTGGTGCTAAAAGCCCTCGGCTGTCTCTGTTGCCATCCCATTTCTGACTATGTCATTTCTCCTGTCTCTGCTGGTCTGATGGTTGCAAGGGAGGGGAAGGAGTGAGGACAGAGAGCAGTTTGCAGAGCTTTGTCCTCATAACTTGTTTACTGCGGGATATGTATCTCTTTTACCTTTTTTCAACAACCCCAGAATAGGGGGAAACCAAACCTGAATACAAAAGGGTTTGATGCAATGAACTATGAAAATGTGGTTATATGGGTGGGAAAGGTACAATGAATGGCTTAATCATTTGCATACTTATTAGGTTGGGAGGTACTTTGAAATCTTGCAAATAACTATATCATTCCCCTTTTCTTTCTTTTTTTGCACAATCCCCTCCTATCATTATATGCAGGTAAAGATTTAGGGCACTGTTTCTGAACTGTTATAATAGTGTCTGCTTTGTGTAACAGTTTTATATTTGCATTTTTTTCAATAGCTCAAAAAACGCTCACTTCCTCTTGTAGAAATCAGCCCTCTGAGACAGCCTTCTATTCTGGTGGGTCTAAGTGAGGACTTTTTCTGATAATTGCTTCTATGTTACAGTTCCCTGCTGCTGGCTAGAGGAAAATGTATTCTTCAATTAGTGGTTTTCAGCTGAACAGCCTCTTTACAGGTCCAGGGCTTTAAAAGCTTTCAGGAAATCAGGGCACATGAGGACCAAGTGGAGATGGAGCATGTAAAACTGTTATGCACACATGTATAAATAAGAAATAAAATAATTTCATAGTTGAAAGACATACATTTGTCTGAAGATGTCATTTGGGTAGCATTTATTGTCATGCACACTTTAGCGTTAAAACTCAAACTGGTACATAGGGACATGTCGGGTCACAGAAAGAGATCCATGGGGTTAAACAGCAGGCTGCTGACTATACTGTGACTGTTGATAGGTACATCATGTTTTTGATGGATCAGATGATCATTTGTGTTCATGTGTTCATATGAGAATAACACTGGAACAATGATTGTATTAAAAGTACTTTGTGTTTTTATGTATATATTTTATTTTAAAAAGCATTGGTATTTCATCAACAGGTGATATACATAAACAATCTAGTATCAAATATATAGTCTTTCATTCTTATGTTTTGATAATCTGTTTTCTTTTCACTTTTAATTTAATTAAAAATAGGACACAACATAACTTGTAGAGTACCATTTACTTCCAGAGAGGGCGTGGTAAGGGGAAAACAATAACATCGATGAATTGCTTGTAGCAGTTTGATGTCACAGAGGTACATCTTACAGGGATTTATTAAGAAAAAACATTAAGGATAAAAACGTATAAAAAATAAATTTTCTGTTTTGTATGCTGCACTGTTGGACACACCTGGTACTTAATTTGCATTGCCAACAACTAAACTGTAGCTATTGTTCATATGACAAAAATAAACTTACATTTCAAATATTGAAACTTGAATATAGATAAAAAGGCCCACCTTTAAGTTTAAAGAGAAATTCCTCTTGTTGTCACTTCTATTGCATTTATGTTTTTGCTGAATTGCTTGAAGGAGAGTTTTTGTGGGGCTGTTGAAAAATATATGCTTATGAGGGCTATTTATACTCTGTTCAATTCTGGGACAGGATCGTCTCTTAAGTGAGTGTGTTTTTTGAAAATAGTTAATAAAAGTTACACAATTTGAAAAGCTCTGGTTCCGATGACTAATATGTCACCATGCTCACTTGACATATATCATTTGTTTTGTCCATGGTGAAAACAGGTCTTCACAGAATATTCCCTGTATCCTTCACTGGAGGGCGCTGTTTGGTAACTAATTTCAGTGGAGCAGACAGAGAAGCTCTGGGCTGAGGAAATGTGAAGTATTCCAGCTGTTCTTTTTCAGCCATTCATGTTTCCCCTACGTTTAAGAAGAATGCAATATGACCTAAACAATTACAAATGATGACAGGGGCAGATAATTATTAAAAGTGATCACACCATTGCAGAAAAAAATCGACACACTGTTGTCTGAACAAAAAAAAAAGGGGGAAGAGTAAGACATTTGTATATGGGTGAATCCCAAATTAGTGTCACACGGGGGAAGATAATTACATTAGCATCATGGATCACCAGATTAATAGTCCAAAATTGCCATTTTAAGAAACCATGTGTAGTTGCTGTGCAAAAATGCGCATTAACTCTGAGTTTTTGAATGTGCATTATAATATTTCCTTACAGTATATCGGAAATGGACTGCTGTTTGGAAACCTTATACATTAAGTTATGGCTGCACGTAGACTTGGAGGCATACGTTTGTAAAACAAAAAGTGTTTTAAAGAAAATTATACACCTATAGAATACAGTTTATATGGAGTCTGGACACTCTGATGACTTTAATACATTTCAGAAGGATAAAAATAACATTTTATAACTTAATATAGTTTGTAACATTGACATATAAATGCGCTATGAAACCACAGGAGACAAAACAAAACCCTAAAGTAGGCTATGTCAGAACCATAACTATTAAGTTCCCAAAACACACTGTTACTGTAAGTCCCTTCAGGAATATCATTGGAATAGTTACATTTGTTTTTAGTCGTGAACCACAGAAGAAGAACAAAATATCCGATAGTAATAAGGTTTATCTTATTGTTGGACAATTAAAGAACATACAGTAGCCTTCCAGTGCGCGCTGTGTAGCTGCGCTGCTCATTGGGATCCAGGAGGGAAGAGGTTAAATTTCCTTCTCAGGGAAACATTGTCGGGTCTATGGAGGGGGTAGAGAGGCGCATACCAATTGGCGAGGCATTCCGCTTTCCTTGAATGAAATGCTGTGAATATGAATCCGTATTTCCCCCCTCTCGCCTGAGGTTCGGGGTCTGCGACGCGCACGAGGATCAACCGGAGTTGCAGAAGAGGAGAACCGGGGAAAAAGTGATGGAAAAGTTGCCCTGATCTGTGTCGGGGTCTGGTGGATGAGGGAGCGCAGCTCTAACTCGCAAAGTTTCCGATCTCAAGTGACAGATTCAAAACTGGACTGATATAATGTGACTGCAAGGAGAGAGCCTTTCAGCGTGGACTACTGCGACCGCTCGCGTTATTTTACTCACTTTTTATTGAACTTTCAGTAACAGTGGATTTATAATTTTGTCCTTCTTTTGCACAAAGGAACTAAATGATTGGAGTGAAATCGCCTGACTGCTGCGAGCGCACTGCATTAACGGGATGAATTCAAAGAAAGGATAAAGCTCTTCTAGCATAGTTTTTACACATGCTATCATTAAGTTCAGTTTAACTACTGAAACCGAGCATGTGTTGAAATCTGTTTATTCTTTTTCCGCCTTTTCAAGCCTTCTTCTCATCCACAACAAGAAGCAAAAGCAAGCTGCTGATAAGCTGCTCCTGGACGGTTGTGGTATTTGACTTTTTGTTACTCACACATTTGATTTGGGAGTTACTTTTTTTTAAACTCTGGATTCACAAACCTTGCTTTGCAGTTTGACATGAAGGAGCGTATGCTTAAATTGCTTTTTGAATAATTTGGATTACACAAGAAGATTTCTCACAAGAGAGGCGTTGAATTATGTCTCCAACTTCCATTGGATTTGTATTTCTGTTAGGAATTCTCCATGTGTGCTCAGGTAAGTTAGTGATCATCAACTATAAACACTCTCGTTACTCCAGCCTCTTATTCTGATTTTACAACAGATGAATTTTGATACAGAAAGTCAGGTAAAATAAAAAATCCAGTTATCTCTTAAACTATTTGTGAAAATACATGCCTTATATAATCACTAAATTGGATTCAAGTGCATACACAACACAACAGTTAATTTTGAAAATGTTCTAAAAATGTGGAAAATCTCTATACGTTTTTTAGTGTTGGAATATGTTGATTCAGGGCAAAGGTTAACAATGAGTTTCCCAACCATGAGAAAATGCTTTTGAACATTGGACTTTTGTCAAACGGTGAGTGTGTTGAGGCCTTAGTCTGATGTTTATAAATGGCTCATCTCTTGTGTTTATTCAGTTGTGCTTTGCAATAAGGAAGGCATAATTCTGATACACACTAATTACATTTTGAGAAGAAAAAACTGTTAAGGTAAAGGGGTTGTCCAACTTTTAAGAGCTGAGCACACATAAAGTGCTGGAGCCATGTGGGATCAGTGCAGAGAGCAGCTATCATCGGTCACACAGACAGCATGAGCCCCTGTGGAGACCATGTTTCCATGTATATCACCATTCTGCCCATGCATGACCGTTATTGCTGAGTGCAGCATTTGGTAAATGTGTTTAAAGGGAAAATGCAGCATCTCAAAAGAAAAGGCACTTATTTTTCCATGTGTCTTTTTTCACTTACTGTTGACTTGTTTTAATTTAGATTTATTCCATTTATACATCTTATATGAATATACTACAGCTTGCTTTCAGTTGTCTTTGTCGTCTGGTGCCGCTTGTAATGTTCCTTATTATCTTTCACATTATTCCTCCTCACCCATCACATGGGAGTCTTTATAGAGCTCCTAACTATGATAGCTGGGGTTTTCCAGGTCAGTTGCTTCTGAGTTATGTGGAAGCAAATGCCTTCCACCCCATTATAAGACATTAGGGAAAGTGCACACTGAATGGCAGAAAGTGGGGCATTTTGCACAAAGAAAAGCTTCTACTAAATCTGTGAATCTTTGGAAAGAACAGAAAAGCTTTACCAAGTGTAATAGCAGCAATGTCAAGGCCTTTAACTATTGTTCATAGTAGCTCGAACACATCTTTATAATTACCTAAACAAAAGCCTAATCACATTAGCTCAAGTTCAAAACTGAAAAGCCAAAGGGTTTATCTGTCCAAATTCTTAGTTTGTTTCCAAATGTCTTTCTGCACTGATATAAATGTTAAGGATCTCAAACTGTGAGGTCTTAGTTCGCCTTGTTCGTCCAGTTTGCAATCACATTCAGCATCTGTTTTCAAATGTGATTCATGCTTCCTGATTTGTTTCCTGAATTGGGTCTTTGTTTTCTCTGAGAGTCAGTGATGTACTGAAGGAACGCCTGTGACACCCCAGTCACTTGAGGAAACACTGTAGCACCTAAACAGGAAGTAGGGTTAGAGGTGAGCGTTTCGAGCTAGGTGGTTGCTCCACGGATCCTGGGCCTGGGCCTGGGCTGAGCCGCTAATGGTCCTGTCCTGAGAGAAAGAGCGTCAGACACCAGGGTTTCCAATTACGTCTAGCTGTGAGGATGTCTGGGAAGGTTTTCTGGGGAGAGGCGTGAGAATAGGCCCCGCTAATAGAGATGGACTGGACAGCAGATACTCAAAGGATTGGTCGTGGATTAGACACTAGTGTCAGGGAAATTGGATTACACACCACTTGCCTGGAAAATATTTCATATTTGCTGCTAATTGGAGGGTTAACTACTTCATTCCAGTGTAGGGAAGGTATCAAATCTCTTAAGCAAACTCATAATGGTATTTAATCGAATCTATGTGGAAATTATCAGGATTATGTTCACATTGCTGCTCTGATTGCAAAACGTTATACTACTTGTATGTGTAAAAAAGAGGGAGAGAGATGAGTTGACCTTTGGCCTTGTCAAACTTGTGTTGACTTGCTTATTGCCGCCTTGCTCTGTCTGAAGGCTGTAAATTGATACCTCCATCTATCATGTCTGGCCCTGTTATCAGGTGATCTGTCCTCCCGCTATACACTAAATGGTTGTTATCTCTTTCCCAAGTGCTCGTCAGACCTAAAACTCACCTCCGAGGTACCATTCAGATGAGGGCAAGAGGCTATCACACTCCAAATTACACTGCAGGGTTTTAAGCAGAGGATGGCTGTTAACAATTTATATTTGATCATTTCAAGGTAAAAGAAAGTGTAGATCAATGCTGCTATAAACTCTTTAGGTGATCATATGCAATCATAGCGTTGTGTATGTCTATCCCAGTGCCGATACAAATAAAGGCTGTGGGAGCTGTGCCTTGGTAATCAGCCCCAGACCCGGCAGCACAGTTGAGGTTTGACAAATTGACTTGTAAGTGCTGATAAATTGCGGAGCCCTTCCACCTCTTACATCATGGCGATATGACAGGACACAGCAGGTTTCAGGGCCAATTAATGACCAGAGACCACAGGTGAGAGCCATCTCTGTCTCTTGTCTTCTTTACAATTACCTTTCATGGCCTGAAAACACAGTCATTACAGCCAGCCTTCAAGATCTCTTGCAGTTCCCCATTATTTTATCTGTTTTGTGAAATAAGGTTCTGTTATTCCAAATAGCCCCAAGCTCATGTGGTTTTCAAGAGACTACCCCTCTGAACCCATGTTGTGGGAGGGCAGTAGGTGCCTTGCTTACCCCCATTTCAAAATATCACACCTGTGTGAGGTGACAGTGCTCATGGCTATATCTCTATAACTTCCACTAATGCACATTAATCTGATCCTAATCCAAATCAAGCTGGGTTTTACACCCTAAGATCCAGGATTATGCAGACTTTGGCTTAGTGAAACCACATGGAGGAATGTGGGAGGGCAGCCCGTGTCCTCTTCCTGTTCATGAGAACTGTGACTAAGTCATTAATGACTGATGAGATAAACATTTTAAAGCAGTTTGTTTTAGGGCAGATAATTAGGCAGTGACTCTTAATGATCTGCTTTCCCCCAAATGCTCTTCCCCTAATGACCTATGAGCGCTGCTTAATTGGATTAATTACCAAATCCATCTGACGTCAATAGCTTGTAATTTGCCGTGGCTGCATCTTGACTGATAGGCATGCCTGCATCGAGAATCAGAAGATTTGGATACTTTTCAAAACCTCCCAATGCCCTTTGTTGGTGCTGATTTGTGATCCTCTTCTCTTTGTCTTGTCATGCTGCATTCTAAACATAAATAACTGAGTAGAGTTATGCTCATTGCTTGCTCATAATGTTACTACAACTTATTTAGCAGGTCTCACTTTGTCTGTCAAATTGTCTCTCACTTTAAGCTCTACATATAGCCAGACAGCATTAAGCTGTCCACACTAAGAACACTCTGGAACTTCGTTTAAGCGTTTCTGTCTGGAGCAGGCTGATACTAGAAAGCAGCAGGCGTGTCCTGGATATCAGACTCAATGGCCAGTAGGTATAGTAAATGCATCTTGCTCTGACAGTTGACATGGAGGACAAACATTCCCTGTTGCCAGTCAGTCCGGAGGTGATAAATGACATGTCCTTATAAGATGAAAGGTGTAGTCTGGTTTCTGTCTCGGTTCACAAAAGCACGCTTTGAATTCCCACAGCTTTGCTTCCTGTTATGAAAAATGCTAAATATGATAGTTGCAGACACAGCAGCATTGAAGCAAATGACATAATGTTCATAGTCATTAAATTCGACATCACATATGCATGTTTACTTAATCTAGCTTTACCGTGGATTAGTTTCCCCAATGACGCCACTAATATAGATGTGAGTGAGAAGCAAAGAAGGACAGGAGGGGAGTGTGTTTGTGTGTGTGTGGGGTGACGAAAGGGGGCTTAAGGAATCTCTTCATCCTCTTACCCATCCCCCGCATTTTTTTGTTTTGGCCCACTTTTTTTTCAAGACTTGCCTTTTTTCTGTGGCTGGTCAGTGCAGAGCCTTTCTTAAATAAAGCAGAAAGCCTGTGGGGATGGGGAGGCTGCATTGTGTTGCCTTAACAGGGCGATTGTAAGGCATGGAGGAGGGGAAGAGAATGGTTCACGAGGGACTGATGGTGTGTGAGGAGCGTAGGGAAGGGGGGGGGGGGTGCGCCTACACAAAGGCAACCCCAGGGTGTGGAAGGGGGGTGGAGGGGGGGGGGGGGGGAGAACGGAGGACGAAGGGGAGGACGGAGCAGTCAAACATACCATGATACACCAGCTCTGGGAATACTCTTAATCTGGCTCTCTGTGCTCACATTGCATATTCTCCGTGGTCCCTCATGGCAGCAAATGTGCTGATTAGGGTGGATGTGGTGGGAAACTGTGAGGCAAGGACACTGGTGTTGTCTTTTCTTTTAAAGGTGGACATCTGGGGAGCGGTGAGGTTGATGTGCAAAAGTGCTGAGTAAATCCCTGAGTGATCCCGGTACAAAGCTTCAGTGTGGCAATGAGGGTTTGGTTTGGTGTAGCTTGGCAAACCTCATGTATCTACATTTTGCACGCTTAGGAACTCCCAGAAGGCTTGTCCTGGGGCTGGCGTTTGCTGTGGTGGAGAAGCTATGCTACAGTGGGGTGCTGTGCCGTGTGCATTTTAAAAAGGGTCCGACCTCCCTCCCTTTCATTTCCCTCCACTGGGGAGACAGAGATGGCATTGAGGACAGCCTCTCCCCAGTATCCTTCTTTTCTTTCTCCCTCCCTGTGCTCAGGCCTCCTCCCTGCCTCTGTGACCATTCTATTACCCTCGCATTGCAAGGCCTGGATACACTTTTGAAATGCTAAACCTCTCTTTGGTTATAACTGACAGGGGGAAATACCATTAAAGAGGCTGAGAGGAATAGATTAAATTAGCAGTTAAAAGAGAGAGTGCTAATTAGTTGATTCATGTATTTGGTTCCTCCCCCTCTTAGCTCTGTCGTATTTAAGATTCCCTCTGGTGACAAGGCTCCCCTTCCCCAAATATTATGTCCTGTTTCTTATTTCTTATAA